TTTTTTTGCTTATGTATGTAATACTGAAATGTAGTTGAAGTCCTATTACTCTTGTAACTGGATGGCAAATGAGATAGAGGCACGGAACTGAAACTTTTTGCTCAAGATGGCAAGTGAATCAGCTGTTCTGAGACCCTGTTCTCTGTTGGACCTACTTCCTCTAAAGCCAGTGCCTCTACTTCTCACTTCTCTGTTGATACTTCCTTTCTGACAGCCCTTACAGTCCTCATATAAGAGGATGTGGAGTATGGTTAGATAGCACAGAGTACAAAACGTCTCTTGTAGAAAAATTCTGAAGCCGTTGGTTTCATACGATAAACAGTCTAATTAGCAAACCAGGTTAAGATGCTTTTTTTTAATAGAATCCCTCTGTAGCTTTTCCAATTAATATTTTAATAAAAGCATGCTACTCATAAAACTTCTGTTGGTATTTCGATCTTAAATGCTATTCTTGAAAGAGCAAATAAAATGAATACTTAGGAAAGAAAACGTATTTCTTTACGTTGCTTCATTAAGAAGGAACAGTCAACTGACCTGCTTTCACTAGTACGGTTCCGCCCCCCGTTCGCTTAGAGCGAGGTGAACTTGAATCTGAAAATGCTATTCCACAGAAATAAACAGCACTGTCATTTACAGTCAGATCACTGATCTGAAGTGAAATATTATTTTCTGATGATACATGTACTTTGAACTTCTGGACATTTGTGCATTCGGGGGTACACAAATCTTCATGTGTGTTAGTGAAAAAGCGAAACCATAGAACTTGAGGCTTCGTCTGGGAACATCCGGGAGCAGAGAAAGCGCACGTTAGGGTCACTGTGTGTGTCGAGGCCCCGGCTTCCTTAAAGCTGGGTTGTGTTACAGTGACTTGGCAGTTATCAGCGTCGCCTGTTGAGCGAGAATAAACAATTGCCGATGTGAGGGAGAGTTAAAAAGCAAGGCACAATCTAAAAAGAAAATAAGCTACTTAGGGTTCCTGCTGGAAAAGGCAGGAGGAAGGCAGAAAACAACCTTGTTTCAAGCTTGGAATTTCTCAAGTTATTTCTAGCAGCCTTTCCTCTTACATTGCTCCTACAGCTTGCCTCTTTAACCGCTTAACAGTTCTATGTGTGTGGTAATGTGCTTCGGTGTCTACTTCAGAAAAATAATACAGGAGATTCATATATCTAAAATAACGTAGATGAATCCTTCGACCTTGGAGAAGAGCGAAAGAATAGTTTGTATAGTTCCCTGCCTCGGATCCTTTAGTCTTGAATGGGGGAAGGGGTCGTTTGTGTTTTGTTTTCCTTAGTTTTCAGACTTGTTGGTTTGTCCAACTACTATCTACCATCAGAACAAGCAAAACTTGCTGTACCTTTGTCACATCTTACATTGAAAATGCCATAAACGTTAGTTGTTCAAAAGACCACGCAAGAAGCACTTGCAGTTGTCTCATGAGCCACCCTGGCCAAGGACTCTAAGCCCTCCGCAATTCCCCTTCTACGCACAGCTCCTCTGAGAAATGAATTTCTTACAGCTTGCTTCCTTAGGTTGTTCTGCAATTAAACAGGATTCTGATTGCCTTAGGTGCACACTCTTTTTTTTTTTTTTCAGGAGCAGTAAAGAGTTGCTCTTTTCACCCTTCGTGTGTCTTGAGTTTCTGAGAGGACTCAGCTGCACTAGGCCTGATGCTCTGCAGAGTTGTTCTCCAATCTCCGCTGACCTATTGCCTTAAGATGCTTTTTACTTGAATGTTAATTACCAAGGGTTTCTCTCTCCTCCACTGTTTTTGATCTGGAAGTGAAATGAAACAGCCTGATGGCAGGCGGTGTTTATGACATACACTGAGACATTTATAATTTAGCAATTTCATAACATTGATCGGCATTCGTAATAGTTGCTAGACACGCTTCCGCTTCAAGCGTACTTATTGACTCTGGGTTTCTAAGGGTAACAATATTGCTTGTTAGTTCTGACATTTAAAAACGTGTGTAGAGAAAGCAGAAAGGTTAATCAGGGAAGAGAATCCTAATTAAGGAACTTAAATGTTATGTAACTTGCATGCTTCTGGTTTAATATGACTGTTTTGGGAGACTTTTTTTTTTGTTATGAAGTCATTATTGAAGTCCATAGTTTTAATAGTGTTTTTTAGCATATTTAATTCTGTCCAAGTAAGTTGCTAAGTTACTGAAACAGTGGAATCTAAATTATGCAATGAAAGTGAAGTTAGCAGTTTAACAGCATCTTTTTCTGCTTTCTAGAAAATAACAAATTATCAGAAAAATAAATGGAAGTCTGTCCTACTTTACTACTGATAGACAATTTGCAAGCCTGCCCACTGTGGACAAATAGTATTGTCCCTTCATCGCTTTTCTCACTGAATGTTTTGTGGGCCGAATCCAAGCAGACTCAGTGTATGTGACTTCTACAGGAATAAAATGAAAGTCTGTTTCTGTGCCGCATCAGCATCAGAGCATCATAGCTGCTCCTGCGCTCCCAAGACAGTGACAGCGTATGCTGTCAGTGTACTCGCACCCTCTGCCATGCCTCTAGCCTGTACACCTGCAGACTAGTTGGTCCCCTTTTCCTTGCCCCCTTACTCTAGGGCTCTGGATGGCCTCACAGAGCGGACTTCATGGCTCCAGTTCATGCAGATACCATCTGATACATCTGCTGGACTTCCCAAACCCTCCTCCCAAACAAGCGCAGCTACAGTGAGACCGTTCTGCTGCTGGCGCGTTCTGTGCGGGAGAGTGCAGTAGGATTTGACCCTGAAATTGTAGATTACAGGAGCGTTTCAGACTCTCGGAAGAAAAAGCATTCACTAGCAGTCATTTGATTTGGAAGCTGTATGAAGACAGCAGAACTTATTAAAGAAAAACTTTTTACTGTTCTTATTTTATAGCTACATGGCAAATTGTAACCGCCACGTTTTCAATCCTATTCAACTTGCAGCATGTAGGGATAATAGAGAAGCTTTAAAAAAAAGTCTTACCAACACAGTATAGAATCCAGTCGAATGCCAGCATTAGCACTTGCTTGAATTTGTTGAACGATGCCATTTCTTGTATCTATCTGGAAATGATTCTGCTCAGAGGAAGAGGAACTTAAGAAATCTTTGGTGTTGCAGAATGCTGTGAATCACCAGATTTAGAACTTCCTGTTTAAGAGGGTGTTTACTATTGCATTTTGCAAACTTGTTAAAGGTACAGACTAAACCAGAGAGCATTTCTTATTTGTGGATGACGTTGCATTGACAATGAGTGAAGGGTTGTTTTTAATTTTGAACTTCTGCAAATTATAGCTCTACTCCTTCAGATTATTTCATTGGACATAAATAACAACATGTTTTCCGATGCAATACAACCATTCAGCTTCGAAGGGGCCTCAGCTGTCTTTACCGTATCAGCTACTAAGTGCCCCTTGAAGGAACAAAGATTCTGTAGCTCTCCCTCATCTAACTAATGGGATGGTCTGCTGATGACAGTGTCGCAACAAATCATGATTTTCAGCTTGCTAGCTCTGTTCATTATAATTACCTGAAGCAGTCTCTGGCAAGACGGTAAGCATAAAGAAAAGAAAGCATTTTATAATGTTGGCAAAGATCTTGATTAAATAGTCTCTCTGTCCATGTCTGCTGAAGACCAGCCTCACTATTCAAAGTTACATTTCAGCCAGTCTTGGAGCTGCTAGTGAAAAATGTAACAAAAGATAACCTTGAGGAGGAGCCTCTTCTGAACTCGAGAAAAACCCTTGAACTGGTCTTACAACATGCCTACAAATGACTGTCAAACTCCATATTTGGAATGGAATATAATCTGCGTAGCGTGCTTTCTGTAAGAAAATGCAGTACTGAATAAAGTTTTCTTTATAATTTAAACACAACTGTTTTGTTTTCTCAGTAGGTGGCAAGTGGGAAAAGCCCTCAGAAGTTTTGGAAATCAAAGGGCACACTTGGGAAGAACAGGTGAATAGCCTGCCAGAAGTTTTCAGTAAAGCTGGTTTTGCCATAGAGGCTTTCACCAGACTGCCATACCTATGTGAAGGTGATATGTATAATGACTACTATGTACTAGATGATGCTGTCTTCGTCCTCAAGCCAGTGTAAGCGTATATGAAGTAAATCTCCAGAATCAAACCCAAGAAGCAGCCTCTGAAAGAGGCGTTTGATTTATGGTTACTTAAAGGGAGGGAATTTGGGGATTGCCATGCTAAATAAATATCATGTAAGAATTTTAAAGGCCAAAATACTAATGTATTTCTTTGTAGTATGATTAGAAAAAAGGTTTGTTTGTTTTTTAAACAGACTCTTCAGTTGAGAATTTCTTTTTTTACCAACTCTTAACCCAACAATGCATTCTGCAATCCAACAGTAATGGAGGATATTTTTATACTTACCTGCAACAGGAATCAGATCCAAACAAAAGCAATAGTCCTAATAATGAGGAAATCGATACAATGTGAATTGTTGTTAAAGATCTCAAGAGAAATCTGGCAATAAAGTTGTCAACTCAGTTCAAACCTTGTGGAATCTAAACTGTTGAAATGGATATTCTTCCATGCTAAGTTACTTTCTCTCTTACTGTCATTCTTCACATGTTTTTAATCATGCTAATAAACTTTTTTGAGATGACTTTTTGCATTAACTTTTGTGTTCATTTTTGTAACCATAGCCACGCTTGTCTTTAGCAACTGCTCTTTGTGTTGAGAACAGCTCTCAATAACAGCACAGCCTTGAGTTCATTTAAACAGCATTTAAGTATTGTTTAAAGGGATCCACAAAAACTGTATCACTTTCAGTTGAATTTCCTTCATGTTCCTCTCAAAACCTCATAAATCCTCATTGCTTTTGCATACGTTTTCCAGCTAAAGGGGTTAGGGTAGAACTTGCCAAAACTGCACTTTATACCGATGGGTTTGATAACAAAACTTTCCAAGCTGAGCAAGTTGTTCCCAAAAGTTTTCCAGCTTAAAGAACTCGGAGGCAGTTTCTTACATTTTTGCAAGTCAAGCTGTCTCGCAGGATCCTGATACAGGGACCTGATTATTCCAGCCAAGTTCAAATAGCTTGTGACAATTCTCCACCCTCCCACCCCTCCGCTTCCTTGCACTAACTAAACACTATTTATTTTAATATCAGTTATTTTTAAAACTCTGTTTCAAATGGTTAAAATGGCTAATTTCTGGTACTGATAACAACCTTCCATTAAAACAACTAGCAGTATCACCAATGCAGAACTGGCAGCTGCATGTCTTGTGTGGCTTGGGATTTAAGTGATGTGAAAGAGCAGAGAACGCTTAGCTTGGATATCGGCTGGTAAGTAAAGAAAGAACAGACTTACCTTCTGCTTTTGAGGTTTACAAGTGTTTTTTAACGCTTGATGATCTTATGCCAAGTAGGATATTTCAGCTTGTCTTTTTATGTTTATCTTGGACTTCCTTTGCCTGATGTCTAGTAATTTTTCTTGCAAGTTTAATAACCTTTTATTCTCAGTTGTCTTTATGAAATAGTAAATGTTTTTTAGTATGAGGTAAGTGATTTGACTGTTGGGTTTTTTTAGCAACAGTAATTCAGGATTAGTATTACTCTCGTTTCAGCACCTACTGTTTAATTTTGGCACAATCAGAATTGCCATTGGAAAAAAATGAGCTATGTATCTTTTAGAGTGCACCCATCAATTTTTATTTTGCTACCTTTGTTTGTACCCATCTAGTAATGGGAAAATATGGTTCTTAATGTGAAATGAATTTAGCTTCCAGTAGCAGAGTTCTCCAAAGGTATTTAAAAGTATAACTCCCACAGTTAGAAATCACACAAAAGATTATACATTTCATATCTTTCTTATCTTTAAATCCTGTCAGTTAGGTCTTTGGATTGTGATAACTTTGAGAACTTTTGGGGCAGAAGGTGCACTGTCAATAATTCTTACGATTTCATGTTTTGTTGCCTGTGTTTAAACAAGTGTTCTTACACTTGAGGTGAGGAATTGAAACACTTAACAAAACATGAGCGATAACAGGGAAAAGCTGTGAACAGAATAAAGTTAAATTTAAGGGACTGCATTTATACAAAGTACCCCTGTGCCCAATCCTGCAAAGCGTGTTTGTCTTCGGAAGGCCGTGGGCAGTCCGCCAGCGTCTGCGGGACACTCGCAGCGTGGCGAGTCCTGCCGTGGGGCCGTCCCCTCACTGAGTGGCTTTCCTGGGAAAGTCACCAGGCCCTTTACCAAACATGGACTTCTCTAGTCATGTTCTCTTTCGGTTATTAAGATGATGCCCAATTTAGTGAAAGTAAGTTAAAGGGACCACAAATCTTACAGGAATAGATATGAATCAAGACACTGGCATTCTGTTTTTAATATTCTGTGCTAATTTTGCCTTATTTTCCTATATGTGTATATATATATATAACATGGTCATTATGTGCACAGTCTCACAGCAGAAAGCACAAATGTTTCCAGTATAGTAGCTTTGTCCTGTAATGTAATAGTCTGGGCAGAAAATCTGCACAGCTGCCCGTTTCCTTGCTATATTTTAAGTGAAACTAGAAGTATTTTATGTATTTGGCCCCATGTGCTCAAAACTTCTGCTCAGGCCTGTTGAAGGTATGAAGTGGCCCTGAGGGACTGTATCTACACCGGCACTTCTAGGATGAGAGTCCTTGTGAAGGAGCAGGAGCGGCAGCAGCATGGCTAATTGTGTCAGAAGAGGGACTTCTGCCCCTTTCAAACCTTTGGGCATGTGTTGGTGTGCAGTTGATACCTGCTTAGACGTCCCCAGGAAAGAAACTCTCTTGAGTCCAATAGTTGATTAAATAGCCAGGAATAATTTAAGATACCATCCAAGGGGACAAGTGCTTGTTTTGGGTCTGCTGTCCAAATTCGTTACTGCAGGGCATGTGAACCCGCCTTGCTCACAAGAAAGCTTTCTCTCATGCCCCTGCTGGGGGGTCACAGTGCGTAAGTCACATCTCGGTGATCTCGCTAAGGTGCAGTGTTTTGCCCTGGAGAGTAACTAAACTCTCTGTTCTGTCGAGGTGGCACTGGATATGTTGCACCGCAGGAGAAAGATGCTGTGCAAGGGCCCGATTTAGTCGAGACCTTTCAACGCAAGGTTGGAAGAGCTTCGTCTCCCAGAAACCGCAGCCCCCTTTTGCAGGGTGACCCCAGGTACAGTTAGTTCCTCTTCTGCTCTAGGAAGCCGGGGGGCCGCGGGCCAGGGCTTGGCGTGGGGGGCCGGGGCAGCAGGCCTGACCCTGTTAGTGCCCCCGTGCAGCTCGCTGAGGTCCCCTCATCCCAAGAGGGGACGCGTCCTCTTCTGCCTGCCGCGGGAGTCCCGGGCCGCTG